CCACCCATCCCACCCCAGGGGAGGACATCCATCACACAGTAATCTCGTGCGTGGGAAATTAACGTCTCCTACCCCTAACCCTGCAGGAGACGGGACCTCCATTTATTCATCCCTATCCGAGAAGACTAGAATATCTAACCATTTCTTGATGTTATAGAAAGGTAGCATATTCTTCTCAATTATTTTAAGACCTTGAGTGTTGGTCCGGCCAGGGCTCGAACCCTCAACCTCCCGCACAACAGTCCAGTGCTCTATCCATTGAGCTAACCGGGGGGTGGTTGTAGCATGCAAAGAAATATTTTGATACAAATTACCATTCATCCCACACGGAACTGGTTTGCTATATCTTTTCATTGCATTTTAGAATTAGGAAGTTATAAAAAAATGCTATTGTTACTCTTAATGTAGATTTTAAGCATCATTGCGCATAGTACAATTATAACTGGAATTGGTATTATGTAGTTATTTTAGAGTACATATAGCTCTGTCCAAGTTAGCTAAGATTTTTAATTCATTATTTTCAGAACTGTGGTGAATTGGATGGTTGAGAAAGATTTGGTGTCTGTATTTGCCTTTGCTGTGCACATCAGGTTGATATGTCAGTGTTTGTTCTATATATATAGTCTATGGCAAGTGGGAGGTACCATGAAATGCAGAAAGAGGGTGGTATTGGGAGAAATGGATTTCTAAGGAATGGTTGGGTTTAGTTATTCAGGGTTGTACAGAGTTGAACCCATAACCTTTGCAATTTCAATGCAGTGCCTTATCACCTGAGCTCACACGCCAAGTTGGCGAGTAGGAGGTTGTCATTTTGTTGGTTTGTAATAAACTCCTGAAAGACAAATAAAAACCTCAGTTTAAATATATGATATTCATATATTCACAGTCATTGAATAATAATTGAATTAGAAGAAGATATGATGAAAGGTTGGTAATGTCACAAAATAGGCACTAAGGCAACAATATATGAGAGAAAAAAGAGAAAGAAAACTAAGTTACAAAAGTTACTTCAGCCATGTACTGCAGGGCTCGACACTAATGGTAGCCAACTAGCCACAGACTAGTAGAAATTCAGTTTTGGCTAGTGGTTTTCGATTTCTACTGGCCAATCTGGCTAGTAACAAACTGAAATTGTTGTAACATGTAAGATGTCACTAGCCACTTGGCTAGTAAGTTGAAAAGTTAGTGTCGAGCCCTGTATAACTACTAGCTGTTTTTGTATTATGGGGTCTTGTCTCTTCAGAATAGCAACATGATTGCTATTGGTTCCTGCATAGGATAATGTGAAGATATTTGTATCTTTTCATCAATTTTTTTCTTGAAGTAAAGAGCAAATGTCACTTCCATTGTCACTTAAGCACATATATTGTAGCTTTTACATGCTGTTAATCAATTATCTTAGTTTTATATTTCAACAAAATCTGTAGAGTGTTCCATTCTATTTAACCCTTTTACATGTAGCTCCTCCTCACAATTCTGATGTGTTACCATGCCTGGAGCAGATCCAGGGGGGGAGGGGGGGTTCAGGTGGTTCCTAAAGTTACCCTCAAAATGCTGGAAATCATGTTTTCCAAAGTCCTAATTTACATGCCCTTGGACAATTCTCTGAACCCCCCTTGACTAAATCTTGGATCCACTCCAGCATACAAAATAGGTTATGAGAACAAGCCAGCTTATTGGCAAGAGGATGTTGTCTTGATAGAACACCAAACTCTCCCATCTAATTTACAAGGAAATGTAAGGGAGTTGAAAGGGAGAATTACTCGTGGACCTTTGGAGTAAAAGGTTTTAAGTAAGGTTTGTTGTGAACCATTTCTCAGCTATCTTCTTCTGTCCAACAGGGATGTGATAGGAACAGCCAAGACAAGCACGCTCTGTCACATCACAGAGAAAACCCTTCCCACAGCATTGTGGTTCATCTTCAAAACTGGGTTGTATGGTAAGGATGATGCAATACTGTTAGTAATAAACTGCTATATAAGAGAAAAGAAATGGGGAGGAAAAAAAACAAACAAATTGTGGTACTCCTCTGTGCAGTAACTCTCTCAATAACCTTTTTTTCTTCATGAATGAGAGAGATTAGAGAAGTTAAAAACTCTGTAGAGTGGTGTTCCATTGCTCGTCAGATAATTTGGGTTGTTGTTGGTAAATGAATGTGTTGCTCCATGATTAGAACAGAAACAAATTTGTTTTCTTTTTCATCATGTAAAAGCATGTCTGATCACACAGAACTTTGCCCTTGCACCCTCAAATAAGTTCTGTTCACTGTAACTAATCCAAAGGTTTTGGATTTACAACCTTTGGTTGCAACTTGATCCATCAAATGATTAAAATGTGACTGCTTGTGGCTGCATCACAGCAAAGGATTGAAGTTCTCATCACTTAAGAGCCACTGGCCATAAATATCGAGAATCCACTGACAGTTGCAAAATTTTGTNGATTATATCTGGGGCAGACGAGGTTTAAGGCACTGTACCGCCCACTGCGTGTGTGTAAATCTGCATTGCATTTAAGAAGGTCATACATGTAGCTGGGGCAGTTTCCTTGAAGTTGCTTAAGGACTAGTGAGCACTTATTGATTTTAGCTTCATCATAAAATGGGAGCCACCCTAATTTATTAAAAAGATTTACGGTATTTGATCTTGTGTCAGCTCCCAAAATTACTTGGGCAGCACGTTTTTGCAGCTTGAGGATTCTCGTTAAGTTATCAGCTGAGCAGTTTGACCAGATAGTTGACCCATACAACATTACTTGTTTGATCATAGCATTGTAGTAAAGTGTGCACTGTTCAATAGGGATGAGTCTCCTTATCTTTCTAACAACCACTATTCTCTGGGACAAATTCTTGCACAGTTCCTCAACGTGTACATCAAAGCTTAAGTGTTTGTCAATAGTAAACCCCAAGAGTTTCTGACTATCAACCTGTTCTAGGTCAGAGTTAGCAAGTTTGAGCTCCAGTGAACAATTGTCAAGCTTGCAGGGTATGCGTTTCCCTGTAACAAGGAGACATTTCATCTTCGCAGCGTTTGTAACCATTTTGTTAGCAGCTGACTACCTCAAGACGTCATCTAAGTCCTGTTGGAGGGCTGATGACATGGCAGTAAGTCCATTAGTCACGTCTGATGATAAACTGAGAGTAGTGTCATCCGCGTAGATGTCAACGGTAGAATGCTGTGCTGCCAATGGCAGATTGTTAATGAATAAGAGGAACAAAATGGGGTCCAGAATACTCCTTTGTGGTACTCCAGCCAACATAGCTCTTGGGGAGGAATGACAGCCATTGATGTGTACATACTGTGTGCATCCACTTGCCCCATAGGCTTTCAATATCTCTAAGAGTAGAGCGTGGTCTATGAGGTCAAAAGCCTTTTTATAGTCAATAAACACAAGCCCTGATACTTTGTTCTTGTCCAAGTCAAAGAGCAGCTGATCAACTAGGCAGATAAGGGTGGTCTCAGTGGAGTGAAATTTGCAGAAACTGGACTGAAATTTGCAGAAACTGGACTGAAACCTGTGTAGTAGAGTGTTTTCCTCAAGGAAGTCGCAAAGGTGATCACAAATGTGCTTCTCGAGTAACTTTGAAAGTATAGGAAGCACGGTTATTGGCCTATAGTTGTTCTTATCGTCCCGGTTTCCTTGCCCCTTATAAATGGGAGTCACTTTACCGACTTTCCACTTTGTAGGGAAGGTTTGTTTTTCGATACAGAAATTGATCAGCTTGCATAGGGAGTCTGCAATAGCAGGTGCAGCAATTCTCAGCAGTTTGGCACTCACTCCGTCGTTGCCTGTAGCTTTGTACACTGGGTTAGAGAGAAGGAGATTAACAACTTTGTCCTTGGATATTTGTGGAATATTAAATGTTCCAGGGGCCTGGGAAAGGGGAGGTGGAGGAGGGGGTGTGGCTCCAGGGAATGAGACATTGTTAAGACTGATCTGAGAAGTCAGATTTTTCTGCTGATCGACGAAAAAGCAATTCAAAGTCCCAGCAATGTCACCATTGTTAGTAATGATTTCACTCCCATCGACTAATTACTGCAGTTCGTGTTCCACGCCGTTGTTACCTGACAAGCATTTAATCAGATTCCAAAGTTTCTGCGAGTTATGTTTGTTTTCAGTGAATTTGGTCTTAAAGTATGTTTGCTTTGTTTGCCTAGTTACATTTGTCACATAATTTTTCGCTTGCCTGTAATTAAGCCAGTCATTTTTGGAACTGCTTTTCTTGGCTTTAGTGCGATACAATTCCGCTTTTAAATTTTGTGTGCTAGCATTATGGTCCTTTTGTCTCTTAGAAAATTTTAATTTCTTGTTTTGTTGTTACGTTTAAGTCTGAATAGTGACCCGTTGAAATAAAGTACTTTGCATCTTTTTCGCGGAGGTAGAATAAAGGTCAACCTCAGTGGCCTATAAACAGGTCTGCTATATATACTTAAAAATCATAATGCACATCATCTTTAAAGCTTTATCCTTGTATTTTAATTCCTCCAATTCTCTACCTTGGCCCGCTATAAGCAGCAAGTCCACGTTTAAAAGAGTTTGGGCTATTTTGTCAAAATTGCAATGCAAACCTCTGAACAGCTGTCAGGACCCATTTAAAGGCCTTTAAAAAGGTATTGTATGATATTTTTACAAACCAAAATATATGTAATCTTAAAGTTTTATCCTTGTAGTTTAATTCCTCAAAGTTTCTTTCTTGGCCCGCCATAGGCAGTGCATCCAGCTTTCAAAGAGTTCGGGCTAAAAAATATAAAAAATGTAATGCGATTATTGAACAGTTGTCACACAAGAGGTCAAGGCTAATCTTTCAGCTCGGCCAGGAATGTACCAAATACATGACCTCTTGCGTGACAGCTGTTCAATGGATCGCATTGCAGTTTTTGTCATTTAAGCCCAAATTCTTTGAAAGTTGGACTCACCTCCTATGGTGGGCCAAGAAAGAAACTTAGAGGAATGAAACTAAAAGGATAAAGCTTAAAGGAGATATATATTTTGATTCGTAAATATATCGTACAAGACCTTTTTAAAGGCCTTTAGATGGGTCATGACAGCTGTTCAGTGGTTCGCATTGCATTTTTGACAAAATAGCCCAAACTCTTTTAAACCTGGGCGTGCTGCTTATGGTGGGCCAAGAAAGAGAATGGGAGGAATTGAAATACAAGAATGAAGCTTTAAGATGTTGTATATTATGATTTTAAAGTATTTATGGCAGACCTGCTCATAGGTCACTGAAGTTGACCTTTATTTTACCTCCACAAAAAAGATGCGAAGTACTGTATTTTAACTGGTCACTATTCAGACTTAAATGTTCAACTTAACAAGAAATTAATATTTTCCAAGAGATGAAATGACCATCTGCTAGCACACAAAATTTAAAAGTGGGATTGCATTGCATTGTAGCATATGAAGTTGCTGAAGGTGCATAATTTTCATTGCTCTACAGGGAGGACAACAGCTATTTAGGCGTACTTTGAACTTTTCTATTTTTCGGAGAAAAAAAAAGCGCAATAGAACTTTTTGATATAACTTTCGAAAAAGGTTCATTAAAAGGGTCCTTTAGAAAAAATATAACTAATTACGAAATTTTGCAACTGTCGGTGGATTGTCCATATTTACGGTCAGTGGCTCTTAAGTGAATAATTTAAGACATACCATGAGGTAGCTCTAAGTGCCATTAATAATAATCTCACTGCTTGTGTTTGCATTTGTTATTTGTTTAGTAGTGCATGTATTTAAGTTGTTGTAAATGACCACAGAAAAGGAAATATTCTTTGCCTCCTTGTAGGTGTTATGCTTGTGATGATGAAGTCCAAGTTGAACCTGAGTCTTCAGTTCAGAAGTGCATCAAATTGTTATTAAAGGCTATGAATTTAAGCCCTCCTGCAGGTAATTCCAACAATAATGATATCATTTAAAATCATATTAGTTATATTCAAATCCTTCCGAACAATGAAATTTTCCAGATTGTCAAGAAAGGGCAAATTAACCCTTTACATCCTAGCATCAGGATGCATATTCTCCATACAGTCCTCTATTCATTTCCTAAGGTGCTGACAAGGAGAATTTGTCTAGCAATCAAGAGCTTCTTTAGTTGGTGATAATTTCTGTTTTTCTTGTGATCTTTATGGGTGATTTACGGGTGATATTGTAGGGAGAAATTTGATGCTAGTCACTTTTTGGGGTTAAAATGGTTAAATCTCTTAATAAGATACATTAGTTAAAATCAGCAATGTGCAAACATGTCTGGTAGGCCTATGTGAACTGAATGACATAGCCAAAGTTGTTTTTTACTATTATTTAAATTTGTTTTTGGGCATTTGAACTTATTCTAGTTTTTGGTTTGTTTCATTTTCAGAATTAGAACCATCTTTATCTAGTCAAGACAAGGTTTCTACTGAGAAACTCAAGAGAGATGGATCCAAAGCCAATAATCAGCTTAAGAGTCAGATTAAGGTGCACTGCATTAAGCTGTCAAGTTTCTTTTATCAGAGGGGAAGGGTGGAAGGATGGTAGGAAGGGAGGGAGGGGAGAGAAGACTGTGAATGGGAGCCAAGGGGTTTGTATTGATGTTGATGAATATTCATTTGTATTCCCTTCACTTATACAAACTAATAGTCATTGCACTGAGAGTTTTCTCACTGAATTCACCTGTTAAACCAGTAGCTTACTAGTATAACAATTTTTTTTTTTTTTTATGTTTCAAGGGTTTGGCAAATCTTGGGAACACATGTTTCTTTAATTCTGTTATGCAGGTATTTCTCTCAATTTTGTGGTTTTCATGATAGCTTTTATGATGCAAGTTCCATTTCCAGTGCTGTAAATCAAAACTTTGCAGTTTTTAATGAAGCTGTTATTTTTTTTCTTTCTTAAGAATTTATGCCAGACAGAGCTGCTTCATGTAGCAGCTTCATGTGCTGCACAAGAAGGGTTTTCATACCATGTTACTCCAAATGATAAAGATTTGGTGAGGAGCCTCCATTTGATTACAAAGGACAACCTTTTGTTTTCACCAGAACAAGGTTGCTTTGAGAACTAACCTTAGCTTTGATTCACTGAGGTCTTGGCTTTTGCTTAACCTTCAATGCTTTTGAATTTAATTCCAAAGACATTTCTTTAACTCCCAAGATCCAACAAGTTTTTTTTTTCCAACTGATTGATTGTCATGCATTTCCTTGTAAATTAGACAGGGGATTCCATTTCACACCCTCTGGCTGACAAGCTTCTCTCTTCTCATAACCTCTTTGCAAGATAGTATATAAAAATCAAATTGAGAAGTTACAAGTTAATCAATTCTGGGAGTGATAGGGTTAAATCTGAGTCAAGGTAAACTTGCTCAGATCAATTTTTGAGGGAATTGTGGTAATATAGGCAGAGGATTGGTGATTTTTGTTAGTGAATTCATGTAAAAAGTAGCTTAAAGCAGTAATTACACTTGGGTTGATATATTTTTTGAGAGAATTTTGCCCACTGGTAGAACCACCAGATGTAGGGATTTGTTGAATTCTGACCAGTCTTTCCCCAAGAAAAGCAGTTACAAATAATTCTGCATTGAAGGCCTGGAAACCTTCACGTGTTTTAATGAAGAGACCATAGGATTTTTCCGCCACAATATTGTACTTTGCTGCAATGTTTGTTACCAAATGAATTAAAAATGTCTTCTATTATAGAAAATAAATCCGTTTCTGTTTACAACCTTTAATTATGCCATTTGTTAATGATAGCTTCAGAAGACAGTAATTCAATACTGACGTTGTTTTTTTATCTTTCCCAGCCACAACTGAAATTAAAAGTTGAAGATCCACCTGGAGAAGTGACTAAAGCTCTATGGAAGCTACTTCAAGATTTCAGAACCTCAACTGATCGAACCTTAACACCACGGCAGCTGTTTTCCGAGATTTGCAAGAAGTAAACATCAGTTATTTGTCGGTCATTCAGTTAGTCATTCGCTCCGTCAGCTTTTGTAATCGTTACGGTGGCCAATTTACCATTTCAACTTTGTTGATATATCCAAATTATTCAGTTAGTTAGGTAGGCAAGTAGTCTCTCTCTCTCTCTCTCTCTCTCTCTCTCTCTCTATCAGTCGGTCAGCCTGTCAGTTGAACAGGCAATCAGTCACTTAGTCAGGGAGGCAGTAAGTCATTCTGTAAGGATGTCAGGTTGTCTGTGTGCCAGCCAGTCAAGCAGCAGGGTGGATCTAGGATTTTTCTTGAGGGGTGCACCACTATGGAATAGCGTATCTGACGGGAGAGGTAAACAAATTTTAAAAGCAAAAAAAAACGAAAAAGAAGGCTTATTACTAGGCAATATCATAATTTGAATTGCTTAAAACACATAGCAAGCGATACAGCAGATTTTTTATAACTGTGAAGATCTATTGGAAAGCCAAGGGTCGTCTCAGATGGGGTGGAGGGGGTGTTGCGTACTTCCTGCATGCTCCCCTAAGTCCGTCCTTGGTCAGTCTTGATTAATCAATCTGCAAACCACTCAGTCAGACAGTTGCTATTCTGTCATACCGTCTATTAGCCATAAACCTAGAATAAATTCATTTTGTATCATGCACAACGAAAATCGTTTTTATTGAAAGCCAATTCTCATTTTTTTTTTCTCCCAACAGAGCCACACGGTTTAAGGGATATAGACAGCAAGACAGTCAAGAACTGCTGCGTTATCTTTTGGATTCAATAAGAAATGAAGAACTCTGGGTAAACCTAGAAAAATATATATTTCATATTAGTTGAAACTATTGTTTGACAAATGTGGGCTTTTTATGTTAAAGAAAGGAAAGTAGAAAAATCGCAATCATGATATATTCTTGTCTTTGTTCTTCAATGTTTTAGCGAGTCAAACGTGCTGTGTTGCACTCGTTTGGTGTCAAACGTGGTGCTAACGGGGAGACGTTGGACGACAACAAACGGAAACAAGTCAAAGGTGGATATATCCGGCTATAATTTATTTAATATGTACTTCTTGTAATATTATTCCACTATTATGTCATTTTACCAAATAAGGTTATGAGAACGCGCAAAATATGCAATTCCTTTGGTATATACTACCTGAGACTATACTTAAACTTATATTTATGTGCGAGTTCCGCAATGTACTCACTGTCGCAATGACTTTAGGGTACAAAGGTTTGCCACCATTAACACTATTTTGTTGTTATTACCTAGAGTATGGAGCGAGCGCTGCAGCACCGCTCATAGACAGTGTGTTTGCCGGCAGGCTTGTCAGCATTGTCACTTGTCACCAATGTCATCAGGTTAGTCACCAGGCTTCTTTTTAATCAATATCGCCAAGCCTACCCCAACAGATCCTATCCTCAAATAGTTCATCTGAAAGTTGAATACCGGTAGTTTTCTCTGTTTTGAAATTTATAATGTTGGGCAGCGAAAAGTTCAGGTTTGAGCATTGATCGGGCTCATTGCGTAGTGATTTTTAGCATGTCACCTTACCCCCGCAGTGCCTTCCCCCCCGCACCCTATCTGCAATACAGTACAAGTGGGTACCTGCGACCTACCAGGGGTACCTAAAAATGCTGAAGGTTGATACTAGCCAGACATTTGGCCACAAGCAAGCTCTTCCGACAGGGGCTTGTGGGTACTGGATGTAGGCAAGGAGAAAGGGAGGGTTGGCAATTATATCTCAAAGATTCGCACATTTGCCTCCAAAATATTGACTCGAAGTATCTGCACCCCGAGAGAATTCTTTTTCGCAGGCCAGCCAGGATACTCCTTGATTAGATTTTAAAGTAATGAGTTACTTGGCTTAACGCTATTGAATTCGAATAAGTAGTCTTTGGAAGAGTTCTCAATCTGAACTAATCCCGAAAAGCTGTAGTTACATAGGAGTACATCTCACCTGATCTGAATTTGATTGCAATCTCCACCTGCTTACCTACGAGCCAAATACGTTCCCCTCTAAATCGCTGCTTCTGTGAGATATGTCGCATTGAATTTTTAGGAATTCAAAGTAGAGGAGACATTTCTGGATTTGTCCTTACCATTGGCGTCACCTCCGCAGGTAAGTGCGCCGCCATTCAGCAAATTTTGACCACTTGTCAGTGACTGATTCTGGTGCAGTAACTGACCAGTTACTTTTGACGAATGCTACACCAGTCCTTGGTCAATAACATTACAAAAACTTGCTAATATTTTTGAGACGTTTTGAACTTTACACTATGTATGTTATCAGGACTTTGTCAAGATAGAGGTGATGAAGATAGGCAAACTTACTAGCTAAGAGGTTGATACCTCACCAAATTCTCCTATCTAAGTTGCAAGGAAATTATATTTCCTCGGAGGGTACCTACCTGAAGGGGAGATATGGTTCTCCGAGCTCCTTCGAAGACTGATACGAGCAATACTCGTGCAGTTCGCGGCGCGCGACGGCCTGGAACCCACGATTTTAATTAAATTTAACGCATGCGTGATGACATCCTCTGATTGAGTGGCAAGCTGAGTATTGATTAACAGACCAGGGTGGGGTAGTATAGATGTCTACTACCATAGGAAAGGGGACCAGTATTGCTCGTATCAGTCTTCGAAGGAGCTCGGAGAACCATATCTCCCCTTCAGGTATGTACCCTCCGAGGAAATATAATTTCTCCTTCACTCCTTCTCCGACTGATACTCGCAATACTGGTGTAGATTACAAAGACACTGTTAATCAATGTCTAAATTTTTTTATTTCAAAACAATAACCATCAGGGATTAACAATATCAAAATCCATGTTCATTTGTCTTAAACGAATTTGCCATGTGACTGAAAACAGTTAATGTCATTTTGGTTCTCCTGAAGCCAAAATACCTTGAACAAACCTATTCTTTAGGATAGGCTTGTGATAAAAGTTTTTGTAGGTTGTTGCTGATGACCAGTTCAGCCGCAATGATATCTTCAAGAGGCACACCACTATCTGCAGCCATAGATGTTGCTGCAGCTCGTGTAGAATGACCCGTGTATTGAGCATCAATACCTGCATTAGGCAATACAGTGCGTATCCAACGTGATACTGTCTGACTCCCGACAGCCGAGTGGGGCGATGTAAAAGACACAAGAAGATGCTGGTCTTTGCGAAGACGAGCGGTTCGGTTTACGTACTGTTTCAGACTCGATAACACAAATGTTCTGGTTTTCCGGAAAAGATGGAAGGTAAATTTTTCTTGCTGGGTGATTCGGTCGAGAGTTTTTAACATGTTGAGGTATCGTAAACTCCTAACTGTTCTCCTTTTAGGATATATAATCCAAATTTAATGCTGCAAGTTCGTGAGCCCTGGCTGAAGACGTAAGTGCCAATAGTATAGTCGTCTTAAACGTCAACTCTTTAAGGGAGAGGCTTTCGTTTGATGGCAAGTTCTTTAGATGCTCTAATAATGTCCCAACTGACCAGATTGAACAGATTTTGGGCAATGGTGGACGAAGTTCAAATATGCCTTTCATAAAACGAGACGAGAGCGGGAGTGTTCCTAGTGGTTGTCCCTCGATTGGATCATGCAGTTGAGATATGCAGGATTTGTAAACACCGACAGTTCGGTATGAAAGCTTTCGAGTGTGAAATTGTTCAGTCAGAAACTCTAAAACCTCTGCTACAGTCGCTGAAAAGGGACATTGAGTCCGTGACACACACCAACTAGTCCAAAGTTTCCAAAGACCTTCATATCTTTTTTTCGTTCCTTCTCTCCAGGAGGCCATAAGGATGTCGCAAACTTGTGGTGGAAGGCCTACTGCTCGGCAAGGTTCCCTGAAAGAGGCCATACCACTAGCTTCATTGTTTTCCACAATGGGTGTTACGCTTCCAGGCCGAACGGTAGATACAGACTCTTCTCCGACATTGGAAGAATGGCAGGGATGTCCACTAACATCTCCAGTAGTAACGGATACCAAGAATGGCCCGGCCAGTTGGGAGCTATTAGTAGACAGGTTGCCTGATCCTCGCGTATCTTCTTGAGAATTCGAGGCAGCATCACAATCGGTGCATGAATGAATGAATGATGTCCATTTGTTCCACTGCAACGTCATCGCATCGATCCCCATTGCACCCGGGTCTGGGTGTCGGGAAACATAGCGGGGTAGACTCAAACGATGCGGAGTGTAATACTTGGTGACTATGCGTATAAAGATCGCCCTGTCCAGAGTCCACTCCGTGCGTTCGTTGAAGTGACGTGAAGCCCAGTCCGCATCGACATTGTGTACTCCTGGAAGATGTTGTGCTGTTATCCATGTGCCTTTCTGTTGACAAACGTTCCAAATTTCCACTGCCAAGGCTGC